CTCTCCGACGCAGCAGGCTGGCGCTGGCTCTACTACATCCAAATCATCTTCGCCTTTGTCGTCTGGGTCCTCATCACCTTCACCGTCCCCGAAACCTACGCGCCCACCATCCTCGCGCGCCGAGCCAGAAAAATGCGCGAGCAATCCGGCGAACAGGAACACGTCACAGAACAAGATCTCGATCTCCGCCCCTTCGCAGAACGTCTCCGTATCTTCCTCATCCGTCCTTTCCAACTGCTCTTCGGAGAACTCATCGTCTTCCTCATTTCTCTCTACATGAGCGTTCTCTACGGTCTCCTCTACATGTTCTTCGTCGCCTTCCCCATCGTCTATCAAGAAGGAAAAGGGTACTCCGCTGGCACAACAGGACTCATGTTTATTCCTCTCGCTCTCGGGGTCATCGCATCGGCTCTGTGCGCTCCAATCGTAAACCGCAATTACATGACCCAAGTACGAAAATACAACGGACATCCCCCCGCCGAAGTGCGACTAATCCCCATGATGTGTTCCTGCTGGTTCATCCCCATCGGTCTCTTCATCTTCGCATGGACCTCCTATCCCCAACTCCACTGGATCGGGCCCGCTATCGGCGGCTTCCCCGTCGGCTTCGGATTCATCTTCCTCTACAACGCGGCAAACAATTATCTGGTAGATAGTTACCAACATCAAGCCGCTTCCGCGCTCGCGGCGAAAACTTTCCTACGATCGTTCTGGGGGGCCGCGGTCGTGCTTTTCACGGAACAGATGTATGCGCGACTGGGGTATCAGTGGGCGAGTTCGCTACTGGCGTTTATAGCGTTGGCGTGCTGTGCGATTCCGTTTGTGTTCTGGGTGTGGGGCGCGAAGATTAGAGAGAAGAGTCGGTTTGCGTATGCGGGAGGGGATGAGGAGGGAGTGGGAAGGAGGGTGGAGGAGGAGGAGTTGGAAAGGCAGAGAAGTTATGTTAGTACGCCTTAGGGGTTAGGAGTGGGGAGATGGTGGGGATTAGAGATGGAGGGGTCGGGGTGGGAAAGAAGATGATGTAATGATTTCTATGAGGGGATGGATAGGGATGGTGATTGTAATGAAACAGGATGGTTTGTGGGCGTTAGAGATAAACATTAGAGATTCCCCATAGATTTGTACTTATATTTCCATATTTTAACAATTTAATTGCATTCATAGAAATCACAATCATAAAATACCATTCACACGAGCATTTTGTCATCAAATTAAATGCATACATGTAAATAAAATTTGTGAAATGAACCCTCCATTATGCATTTGATTCAATTCATTCTACTATCCACCAATTAATCTTCATCGACCTCCTCATTTCTATCCTGCTATACCGATACCCCAATTCCTCATTGAAATAATCCAATCCACTCATTTCCTCCCCTAAAACCAAGATCCAAAACTTCCGTATTCAGTCGATGGAGGCGAAATAGTCGATTATGGAATAATAGTGCAAAGCGAAGTGTTGAACTATCGATGTTTCGTCCCCGTTGTGATGTGAAAGTAGAATATATTTGGATTTTGATAAGTTTTGAAAAGGACTTAAATCTTAGCCTTCACATTATCGACCCGGACTTGAATCTTAGCCTTCGCAATCGACTTATCCGACTTCCGATTCCACATTCGTAGTCCTCGCGATTACATCTTATAGCCTGCTATACTTGATGTCCTCGTATCGTGTGTACTTTATCAAGTCCAGGGCAGTATCAGTTCGAGTGGTTAGATAAAGGCATGAGAATGTGGTTGGCTTTGAGGTCTGCTTGATTGCGATGACGAACGAGATCTTGAGCTGTGAAATGGTCTGGCTGATGCTGATGCTGATATTTGTTGTTGTTGTGGTAATGGAGACTGTTTGGACTGGTTTGTGTGATGAGAGGATCTTGGATCTTGGCCTTGATGTTGAAGAGGGAAACATAGATCTTGGCCTTGATGTTGTCGATAGATTCATGCAGTCAAGAAGAAGAAATCATCGAATCGCTTTCCGAAAAAATCCACTCCTTATCCTGGATCTTGGCCTTGATGTTGCTCTCAGTGGTGTAATGACACTGAAAATGTGGGAATGATCATGCGCAAGCATAGCACTAATTGTGTGATCATGATTACTGGTCTAGTCCTTGGATGGTAAGGAATCAGAAGCCAGGAAGTAATCACGGAAAACCGTAGTCTTAAACTGTGATTCCGAAATAAAGAGTGACTCCACCTGGATGTTGTAATCACTCAAGCTGCGAGAATCCTCAAGTTGCTTTCTGGCGGAAAAATACTTGGATCTTGGCCTTGAATATCCATTTGCCTCCACTATGTTAGAATCCTAGAAATCAATCAATAATAGTTGTAGTTTTCGACTCCATGGCTGATAATTGATCGATTTTGATGTTTTGATGAGTATGTTGTGTGTGAATCGTATAGTCTTAAGATTTTATTGTCGTCGAGTCTAGATAAAAGATTAGTATATTGTAGCAAGCGAGAAGAGGTGGTGTCATTTACCATATTATTGTTGAAGTTGAGCTTCTCCACAGGCAAAGCATTTGAATGCTGTAATCGGAGAGAGAACAAACATCAAGTTGCTTTCCGACGAAACTAACCCCCTGGATATTGTAGTCAGAAAGACTACACACATAAGGAGGATTGTAACAAGATAAATCTTGAGTTTTTGCCATTTCCCTTCCTGTAGGATCCCAGATTTTCAGCAGGAGGTTCATGTTTTAGAGCTTGGCGATAAAAACATCGTACCGAGGTTTGGAAGGAAGTGCAAAAGGGGATTCCCCTTTGTATCTGCACTCACTTCCAGCCTCAAGCACGAGAACTCTAAAACAACGCGGGCACCAGCTCGCACACCATCAAATCTAAATACACACCAGAGTGTATGAAGATTATGACAGCTGTCCAGCCCGCCGAACACATGGGATCCACAGTTAATAATGTGAACATTATCCTTCACAGGACTTTTTTCACATTACCAAAAAAGGGAGGCATGAGGGATTAAGTAGTAACACTAACCACTCCGCTAAGAGATCGTTCCAAACGAGGGTGATTTGTTGTTAAATGTAATATATATAGTTGATACTGAACATTAGCCTCATTCGCAGATAGTGATTAGCGAACTGAGAATGAAGGTAGAATGTAAATGAGTTCGGATTGCAGTCCAACACTGAGACACTTTCTATGTTCGAAAGTCTTTCGATATCTGCGAGCAAGTGAATACGTGAATATATTTTGGAATCGAAGACTCTTAATGTCTAGATGTAATTCGATGTCTGAAGATATCTCAGTGTAAAGTTGTTCAAGCTCTAAAAATAGTCTAACGTTTGCAAATATTTCAACGATCTAGATGATTTCGGCGTTTCAGACTATCTCAATATTACATTCAGATTCAGAGATTGAATGGCTTCATCGTCAGATTGTACACCAAAGTATTCAAAGGTTGAATCAGTATGATCTGTCTGATTTGATGAAGTGTTGATCTAATATGAGGGGTTCTTAGATGCTCAAATCTTGAGTAAATCAGTGAGCCATATTCGTGAATCTTAGAACCTTTTATTAAACCCAACAGTAGCGAGCAAATGCTTTTGTTGCATGAATATCGCATTTAAAGGCTTAGTGGCATTTAAAACTTTGTTAAAACCAAATCAAGGTGACTAGAACTCTCTGGGGAGTAGTGTATCTGGTCAAGTTTCTGGTTTGGGGTTGCATCCAAAAGACATAGACGGTTATCTTCGCGCCAGAGTTGAGGAACAGAATTGGTGACGAGATGCTAGGGAAATCTCATTCTCCATCCATAAGAATGTGTTAAATATTTCTTATACATAATTTCTGTTACCTTGGCTGCGATGTCGAAAGGCATTTGAAGTACTAATGTCTTACAGTATGCATTGTTGGTATTGGACTGAAGTTCAAGATGTTAGTGTATGTTAATCATGAAGAGTGAGGAATACTGACTTGGAAGTTTTATTTGGGTATGCTCATGATTGTCGTAGATGTGGTCAGGCTCGAGCCTCAGGATCCGAGGCGAAAGGACTCTCAAGGCGAATTTGATCTTCCTCGATAGGATAGATCCATGTGGAGGATAATCAGAAAACTACTCAACTCCATGTACATTTTTGATGGATTCAGAAGTTGAAGAGAAATCTAGAATTGCAGGGGAATTGCAGACTTTTATACCCCAAGTCAAAACGAAGATCTTCAAGCTAAAATTGCGTCATTTTCCTAAGCTCACTACTTCGAACTCCAATTTCAATACTATCGATTCTTGTGGATCTTCGTTTGATCACCAGAGTCGATTTAGTAAAGTTTGATCATATTTTTCTGTTTAAGAAGAGCTTGGTATTCGACTAGTAAAGCTGGCAGCAGCTATCATTATACGTGTCCTTCATTGACGAATCAAACAGCTTCCTGGATACTGACTCATTAGATATTCATTTCTAACACCTCTCAATGTGTCTCTGAAGCCTGATAATTATCGCCTTGGATTTATGAATATATTCTGATCCAGAAGTAGTTCGATGCATGGGAAAGGGTTATTCGTTCGATTAATCAACTGACTCTCTAACAAAGTAAGAATTTAGCTGACTCACATATGGTAGTAATTATCAGGAAAGCCCCCCCCCAGAAAAATGGATTTTATTTAATGGACATGGTTACCATTGGACCAGCCATACCCCGAAAGGCACTGGCACTAAGCTAATTCTGTATCATATATGCCTCTTTAGGCTAGCACCTTCCTCTCCTCCCCCCCCCCCCCCCCCAAGATGAAACTAGACCCAGAATATCCTGAAGCTCATTTTAATCCTGTTTTTCTGCTTCGAAATCGCTATAACCAGACTCTTGTAGCAAATCGAGCTTTCTGTTTTAGGTCAAACTTCAAAGTTTCCGCGGTAATATCACGAAACGTCTATCATTTTTAAAAAGTTCATCGTATGTTATTAAATTAATACTAATTTACAACTTCCTTTGGTACCAGATCGATCTTGCCCATCCGACCCCTGGAACAAGATTACGAAAATACGCTAGTGGTACCCACGGAGCCATTTGCTGTGGAATCGTTGATGGGGAGGACTTTGGGGAGGACTTTGGCGAGGCAATTGATATCTTCGTATTCTTAAAAGTTTGCAAAGATTTTCGATCATTCTAAAGCAACGCGGCTTGAGGGGTTTCTCGTTCCATCCTTCCATAAATTGTAGTGAAATGTAAGCGTCATCAGCAATATCATCAGTGTAGCTAAGCCAACTCTCCATATACTTTAATGAGATGTAGGCATCGTCATCAATGTCATCAGTATAGCCCCAAAGCTTGGAACCTGGGGTCAATATATGAGTGATTAACTCTCTCTCATTATTCGAATCATTGATAAGGAGGCTCCTTAAACCAAGCATAGCATGATGGAAATCCCAAAAGTAAGAAGTCCTTACATTGATGGCATATCGTGACCTAGACCTCCTGGACTCGTCTGATTCTCCCAATTTGGTCAAAATCGGGCAGATTTCAACCTTCTTAATTCGCAATTCTCTAAAAAATCGGACCCAAGAGAACCTCATTGGAGACTTCAAGACCTCCTGGAAATCATCTTCAGCAATCGTCAACCAGATAATTGCAGAATCAAGGTTGGGAAGATCGCTTGATATATACCGGCATAAAGCAACAAAATCCTCAAAAAATGGTACATTAAATTCATCTCTAGGGTCGAAATCTATAGAGATATGCTTTATGCAGGGATGAAACAATTTGTTTCTCTTCAACCACGTCAAAGACTTCTGCAAGAGTAACTTTGTTAGCTTTTCATTTACAAAAGAAAAACAAATCCTTATGATGGCAAATCAATCACACACCTCAATGATAGGACCATTACGATCACTCGTCCACTGCTGGTTGCAACATTTCACACACCACACGACACGTGGGATGAGGAACCCGAGAAAATCGATCAAAACCTCTTTCGCCTCTTGGCTACCGTCGTTTTCTCGTCTTCGCAACGCTTCGGCAAACCCTCTTACCCAACAAAACTCTCCCATTGCATGGCACGTGGTTATCTGAATCTTATCTTCGAGTGTAGGGACCCCATAATACCGCTCCTGGGCGAAATCAGCAACTGGTTTCTTGGCCTTTAATGTGGATGTCGATATATCATTCGTGGTAACCCAACTTAGAAGACCCTCATGATGAACGGCATATTCATAGATAATTTCTCTAATTGGCAAAGGTAGAAGCATAAGACCCTTAAGAAGCCTATGATTAGTGTTAGCATATATCATGAAATCTTAACGATGTGCAACATTACCAAGGTGGAGAACAACCATGGCCGTTAGAATAATATGACAACTTTTGTCCACAGGGAATAAATCTTGTAACTGATGGGCAGGTGAAGTGAGTTAAACCCATATGCCATTCATCTTTGTGATCGCAAGGCAGACCAAGGAACGTATCTTTGTTTGCTGAAAGGGGAGCCAAGTTACTGCGTTCCATGTATCTTACTCGTCCGTCAGTCGATAGGAAATCTTTCGACCAATTTTTACTGTCGTATAATTCCAAGGTGTTGTAAAGGTATCTTTCGGTTGGTGTGCGATCAACTCCGTCGTCAGGGAGTGGACCGTTTCCAAGAGATCTCATTCCTGGTAGGCCCGCCATTTGTAGTAAGGGGTCTCTCATATTTGCGGAAAAGACAACGTCTGCCAGCGATTACTTCTTGATTTCTTCGGTAATTATTTTGATATCAAACTATGTCTTCAAATCTTTTGTTTTGCTGTAATGTCAATGAGTTGAAATTACTGGGCATGTTGTAAAACCTATGACAAGCCATATTAGAAAGCTCATTAATTAGATGAGCCATTGTATATGAAGATTTGGCCGAGACAGTGAATGATTAGATCGTACGATAGATTCTGTCTGCAAATTGACTCACATTTCTTACCTGATAATATTCTCATGATATTGATGTTTTATTTATGACAACGGAAGGATGGCAAGGTGGCTATCGCATATACTAATCACACAGAAAGGAGCAGGATGAAGTCGGAGAATAAGACCTCACAACATAGTAATCTCGAATGAAGCCATGACACGTTCGTGAAAACCTTCGCCCTATGTTTCTTATGATTTGGGTGTTTTGCATTCTATGAACTATGAAATATGGTGTAATGTTGAAGTCATGAAGCATGCTGAGTCATAACCTTTTGGCCGGTGTGATTGCATTCTCTACCCCACCATCAACAACGACACCTCATTATTTGCATGCTCTATGGTCAATTTGAAGCCATGGAAATGTTGCATTCGACGTGTTTTGTCTCTAAGCTTACAAGCAGAGGATAAGTCTTGATAAGGCTTGATAATCCTCGATGTATTTATGTAACAAATCACCATTCATGTTTGATTCCCACTCCAAATCCATCAAGATATCTGCTCGTGCCCGGAGCTCTCCAGGTAAACCCTCATGATTGTTGATTGTGTTTCTGAATCCTCTTAATATAGCTGCACCTTATCAAGCGGGGGCATCAAGATCCTCGATACATGCCCCAAGCTTCTGATGGCGTTGCTCATGCAGGCTGCTTCGGGAGACACCATCAAAGGTGCAAGATAGGCTTTTGGCTCGGTTCAAATCTTGGTGCATCTTTGCCCTTTTACACCAGTCTTCCTTTCGATACAATCGGCCTGTCCGGGTATCTTGTTTCGTCGCTAGGTGGGTGGTATTTTGCGGAGTATCATTGCCATCTTTAGAATGGTAAGTTAGCCTGGTATTCTTGATAGGTAATGACTAAGTATAAGATGATTCCGAATTCCAATGGGACCTAAAGACTGTCTGGCATATGCATCTACAGGCTTCCATAGTCTGAAGCAGATATGCAACAAAACTTCTGAGACATTCTGCCAAGCGGTGGAAGACGTGGACTGGATAGTGAATATGACTTACATGCGAGATAAATTGATGGTCAAGAGGGGAGCTTAAATCAGAAGTCCGAGGATACCTGACGTTTCTTGTATCCAAATCTCCTAATTGAATTGGAAAGAGATTATCCGCATGTAATTGTATAGTATTATTCCATCTAAGAACTATCAGCTGATGAAAGTTTATACATAACATGAATCATCACATTTATGAGAGATTAACTCCAGTAAGTCTTAACTCTTATCACTATCGATTTCGCCCTAATAACTTTCGTCGACATTGGCATCGGAAGCGGATTGTGTTGCGAACGTGGGAGATTCAGTGTAATATGTTATAGTGTCAATGGCAGATTGAATTCTAAGGTCGACTCCCTTTTTGGTTTCGATGCACTCTCTTGGGCTGGGTAGGCTTGCGTTGACCGCATACCCATTGAGACTAGTATCTCCATTGTTGATATCCTCGTTCATGTCATACTCGTACTTTGTAAAATTTTCGCTCTCGCTTTGCACATGTGAAATCCAGTTCTATTATTTCTTTACCACTTTGTGCAGCATCTTGTTCCGACCCATGTCCATTCAGTATTTCCCGTTTTTGGCCGGCGATTTGTACGTCATCCATCTCCGAAAGGATATTTAAGAACAGAGGATCCTCACGAAACTTTGAATCCCGGGTAAATTTCTCAGCATTGTTGTATTCGCATTGGTTCTCGGGGCGGTATCCGACGCTTCTGGGAATAGTCTCTTGGTCCTGTTGAAGGGGCGCTGAGGATTCATCGGCCCCAATAGGCAAGTTTTGAACAGGTAATGTTCGAGACATCTTGGTATTTCGGTAAGATTTTGAATATGTCAATGAGTTATCGTAAATACTTTCCGGATTCCAGAAATTCTGCAGTCTTTGAATGTTTTTTACAGACAAAAGATTTGTGTGAGGGAAAAAAATATTTAGCGTCGCATTTCATGGCATAGATAAGCATTAGCAAGCTACGATAATTTAACAAAACTAGCTCAGAAGTATGATTAGTGGACCGAACAAATTCTTCACTTTGGGTATAGAACTGACGTCTGGAATACCATGAACTAAAGAACTTCTAGTCCGGTTCCCCTAGATGGTTAAGCGAGACATCGGCTCAAACTCAAATTTTGTGGGGTATTGAGCAACTCAGAAGCTCTCAACGCACATGGACTCTGATTTTTCAATAGCAAAAATCCCAACTGCAACAGCATTTATTAGATAATACTGCACGTTGAAAAGATGCGATTGATGAGAGTTTTCGCACTCGGAGCAGTCCATTTCCATCAGTTGAGTGCTGTAAATTCATAATGAATTTTGAGTCTTGGCGCCTGGGTCATAATAACTTTTTCGGTAGTCTGATTAATACATCGTCAATAAGTATTCTTTCATATCCCGAATTCTCTTCTATAGGCAAATGAGATGACCCGTGTCCTTCGGCTTGATGTTTCCTGATCATGTGATTGAGTTTTTCTGTGGACACATGTCATTGAGGATCTCTGCGCTAATTACTCTTCTAATTAATTAGGTTAGGATCGATGACACCCGTATATTCATTGAGCTTAGGGCTTATGGTAGTCAGACTGTTAACTTGCAGTGTGGCTGTGTGCATTATTGCTTGTTACTACATTGACCACTTGCGCAGAAATAAGGTAGTCGGACATGCATTGGAAGCAGTTCTTTGGAATACCTACAATTATATACTCAGGTTTCATACAAAAAGAATCTACAAGATTTCATGAACTCAGTTTACTTTAATTGTGTAATATTCTTAGCTTATACAAAGTGTAAGATCATCTTGATGTTTGTCATGTTTACTATGCTTCTTTGTGCCTTTTCATCTTTCAATTTCATAGTACTGGTTTGGGGATTTAAAAATCAGAGATCAGAAATGATGATATGTCGTTTTTTTATAGAACTCTGATCTTTTTACTAGCTGATACGTCGAGTTGAAGGCTAGATAGTAGTATTAGACTAGAGCATTATGCTGAGACATAGTGTGACAGAAGAAAGATTGCTTGAGTGGGTGGATAATGAGTTGTATTTTTTTGGAAATGGTAGTAAAAGATACGATATCTTTATACTCCGGTTTATTACTAATCGAATGGGAAAGCACCCCCTTTAACCTTCACTTTCAGAGAAAGGTGGTAGCCTAAATAGGCATATAATGCATTATAACTTCGACGCCAAAGATTTAAGGAGCATGGCTAGTCTAATAGTAATTAGAATCAATATAATAAAACCCATTTTTCTTCTCCCTTCTGTGACCAAGCATCAATTATGACATCCAATATCATACAAACTTTAATTAGAATGAGATTCCTATTGAAATCTGAGCGTCAATCAAGATAATTTAAAAAAGAGAGTCAAACCAAATCCCACTCAACCCACCGAAGTATTGTTCTGTCAGTTCATATTTCTTGTCGTCTTCCCCCCTTTCCTTCTTTTCTCATGTTTCTTCGTTTGCTTTTCCAATCGCTTTTTCTCTCCAGAGAATAATTTTGAAAGGCTGCCACCTCCACAGAGTATGAAAACTAAATGGACAGTCATTTCCTAAAACTCAGGTGAGAATATAAATAGCGAGACCCATGACATATTATCACGACCCCCCCCGGTGAGTATACAAACTAATGCGATGCTACAAAAATGGACATTTAAATATCTTTTGATATTATAGATCATTTATTTTAGAAGTTGTTATAGTTGTTCATTAAAGATAGAATAATCAAATTTTGAATTATGATGTCAAACAATTGAAGAATGAATTTGCCAGAAACATCCAAATTTGGGAAGTAACCCGTCAATCCACACACCCACTAGTGGTCCAAAATGTATTGAAAGCAGTTATTTAGAATACAGTCATAAGCTCAAAGTATACTGGGAAAACATATGAGGCTCTGTAAACTCAGTCTATTTCAATTATGCGATACCCTTGAATCATAAACAGCATAAAACAGCCAATTTGTCTGAGCTATCACATATTGCCTTCCTTCCAAATGTTCTAACTACCATATCGATATTAATTCTGCCCGTTCTTATTTGGAAGAGCCATTTCAGTGTAGAATTGGCTCATCTCATCCACCGTATTCAACTTCACACTCCTGAAATGCAAACCGTTCTCTTGTTGGTGGACTTCCAAATTCACGTTCTTTTCCTTATCGATATCTCCTACGGGTTTCGGAATCCCTTCGAAAGTACCCGTGAAAGCTCTTCGCTCGTTGTAAATCTCGAAGAATGGATATCCGTGTCTAGCGTAGGTTCCCGCGGAAATCGGAGTCTGAGGAGGTGGTGTGCCTGTAACTAAATGGAATGTTTTGGGGGAAAGTAATTGCATGTTGAACATAACTGCATTCCTTTCGTCATATCTGTCTCTATGAAAACAGTCTTTTCGAATCGCTTGATGAATAGAACCACCGGGTGTCAATGTCAGTTCATGATGTCTGTCGTAAAACTCTTTTTTCATCGGTTCGAATTCTCTCATCATTTTATTTTGCATCTGCTCTTTCTCCCAAGAGGACAAATTTGAAAAACCGAAACCTCCACACACTCTGAGAAGTAAATACACAGTCATTCCCTAAAAATCAAATTAGAATGGACTTTGTGAAGCCCATGACATATTACTGACCTCTTCTACACTAATATCTCCTAAGGTATCTGCGAATCACATGTCAGTCCGGCTACTTGTGAATGTTTTTAATTGAGTCAAACTAACGGTGTTCTTCAAGTATCTTTCCCATAAATATAAGACGCTGCTGATCTATCGGTATGCTTTCTTTGCCCTGTATACGATCCTTGAGCGTTGCAACAGTCATGTCGGAGCTCACATGCACAGGGAAACTCTTGCTCGTCAGAGTTTTAATGATTATTTTGCCATCAAAATGAAACAATACGCGGAACGGAATTATTTCGAACCGAAGGCCAGCGATTTTGTCGAAACCCTTGATCTGTGCTTCAACCGAGTATCCTGAGCCAGTAGGCACTGCGACAAGTTGTATGACTATCTCATTAATTCTGACAAAGTCGCCAAACCATTCTTATCCTGGCACTACAAGATAATCTTGCTTTTCGTCTGATTCAGCGATAGGCTCCCCAGGTTTCATCTCACAATGTCTGCTCTCTTCTGACATAGCATTAATTCCGCCAACAAAGACTTTAACCGCAAGTCGCGAAGTCTCGTACGCATGAAATTTAATCCACAAAGCCTCGCGCTCTAATCCCTTCATCAGCATAGCAACCATGCATAGGTGCGAAAAATATCAAACTTACGCCAAATAGGAACAAACACACCTCCCTCCCTAACGATGTCGAGAGGTAGCTTCTCTGCATAATCATCTATTGAATAAGTAGGGAATTTTCCAAGGTCAGGGGGAAGCTGGTAGTTCTTGCCGTCATCCGGGACCCGAACCGTTCGATGAAAAGAAATCTCCATTTTGCCACCACTGTTATTATTTATGGCAATCTTTTGGAAAGCTCCTGGAAAAACATCAACAGCGGTTTTCAATCCGACTTTGAGGGGTGAGGAAGTCATGGTGAAGGTATCCGTGACTTGAGTCGATGGTGGGGAGGAGCGATTGTTTTAACCTCACAGAACGATTCTCTCATTAAGTATCTCTCACAATATCATCCACCAAGCTCCAGAAGCTCCAACTGAAACAGGAATATTCAACAACTCCATGAACAAACAAAGAAACGATCGTGTTGGAATTTCTAGCACAGCAGTTTTCGAAACATGATTCCACGATTCTCTCTGTCTTCTGATTCCATATTCTTCTGACAACAACGCGATGCCTCGAGTGGATTCGATCGGTGTGCCAACTACATCTACCGATTGCCATCTACCCGTGAAGAGGAGCTGGTTTACGACTGCGAAACGAGAGGAAAAGATATTTGCAAATCCGAGAAACTTTCAATGGTTGTTTTTTCTTGCTTTGCGGGGTATAAGTTATATAGAGCAAATAAGGTTGAAGCTTTCACAAATGATCTGTAATAGTAGGTAGGTAGGGTTTTTGCTGGGTAATCTTATTAATCTACAGAGCGGATTATCCGAAAATTACTCACGGGTGCGGATAAACTCTACGCCGCCTACGATTCAACGTCACAATTCTAGGTTCAAAAATCTTTCTCACCTATAACATCACCAGTAGCCTCCTAATCCATCTCTTCATCAATTTCCAATATGATATCATCCAAACTATGCGCCCAAGTATCAGTCTTCTCTTCATGCAGTATGAACATGGAAGTCCAAGTTCATCATACCTAGGTGGAGCCTAGCCATGATAGGTGTTGGGGGTGGCTCTTTTCCCGTGAATATACGGAATGTGTCTGGTCCAAAAAGTTGAAAATTAATTGCGCTTCTGTTCGCGATACCATTTCGTTCGGGATTAAGTGGATCTTTCTGAATGACTTGACAGATTCATCCTCCAGGGCCTGTGGCTTGTCCCTCTGTTTGCTGTATCTTTGGTGCTGAGGTTTCACAACTCCTTTCACAAAGTCTCATGTATAGATCTAAGGGTAGATTCATATCATATATGTAAGTATAGCTGCTAACCTTGAGTATTAAGAGTCAGAGATTATTGATGCCTGTAGCTATCTCGAAGAGGCCCCCCAGAGCGTTGCATACATCTATTTCCTCACTGGACTTACATCAACCACAAGTATACTCTAGTGAGAAGAGCTTGAGTATATAGTGGCCGAGTTCGAAAGTGACATGCATGCTATGTGAGTATCGATGCTTCTTTGACAGTAGAGCTTTCGTTCCAAAGTTGCTACGAGGCAGGTTCGTCGCTCCTAGGAGCGTCAGACCAAGTTGATTCACTTGATTTGATCTTTTATTTACATTGTCCGTTATCACTTTCAAGCTTCAAAGTACTCAGGGTACTCAGTAAACACTCATATCACATTCAAAATCACTTCAATAATAATTCTAGGCCAAGTAAGAGAAGTATGTTATAGTCATCGATTGTTTCTAGATGCGAGTGTCACAACATCCTGATAAATGTCAACTCCACGCCGAGGGTGGACCCAGTAGTGAAACCCAAGTATCATTAAAGAAGCATTAAGTGCTATATGTGAATGCGACTTATGTTGGACGGGCAGTTTCAGCTTAGGCGTAGGAGACTACAAGTTCCAATACCTTAGTCTTAAAATTCACTCTTGAGGAAACGAGAGCGCATAAATATCTTACATTAATTCTTGTTGCTGTAGTCATCCTCTGGGTAAGGGCCGAACTCGGTGGTCTGGCGCTTGGTGTTGTAATCGTCCTCTGGGTAAGGACCGAACTCAGTGGTCTGTCTCTTGGTGTTGTAATCGTCCTCGGGGTAAGGACCGAACTCAGTGGTCTGTCTCTTGGTGTTGTAATCGTCCTCGGGGTAAGGGCCGAACTCGGTGGTCTGGCGCTTGGTGTTGTAATCGTCCTCTGGGTAAGGACCGAACTCAGTGGTCTGTCTCTTGGTGTTATAGTCATCTTCAGGGTATGGGCCAAATTCAGTAGTTTGACGCTTGGTGTTGTAATCATCCTCGGGATATGGACCAAACTCGGTAGTTTGGCGTTTGGTATTGTAGTCATCCTCAGGGTATGGGCCAAATTCAGTAGTTTGGCGCTTTGCAACACCATTGAGCCTTGCACTGGGGGCGGCGGCAGCGAAGGTGGCAGCGAAAGCCAGAATTGCGGTGATCTTGAGCATCTGCATGATGGCTTTTGGTAACTTGATGTTGAGTTGAAAGTTGAAAATGTAAAGAAGTTGTTAATGTTTGACTTGTCAGTTGTGTGAGTCTGATAGAGATTGAGAGAGAGCGGGAAGAAGCAGGTTTAAATATTGTTGTTTCTTAGACTTTTCGACGATATGAGCTTATCATGCGGAGTCTATTTTGTTGACTGCATCGCGCGGCCGAAGACAATCGCTTTTCGTGGCCGGATACAAAGATTCCACAGCCATAGTTACGTTGACTGAGGGCTCGAGATGCTTTGGGCGTGATGGCGATACATCGCATGCGGACAAGTGCATTAGTGATTAGCGAGTCAGCGATTCAATGCCCAACTAAACTAGTGAGGGGACCGCTGCTAGAACTGCCATCTTGATCTTGCTAAGTTCAAAGCTAAAAAGGCTATACAGTGACGTTCCTGTGCCAGGTACAACCGTTGCTAGCACCGGTCCACTTTTGATACAAATTACAGTAATAACCTCATATAGTAATGTTTAAGTATCAGTACCTCAAATGTTAAAGTTTATAACTAGTATAACCTCAAACAATATTTTTAATACTTCAGTCTCTACTATTTTAGTCTCTTTTTTTAAAATTTTTTTAAAAAGAATAGAAACTCATCGGAATAAGAATTTTGAAATATTATACTTTTTTAAAACCCCTAGAAAAGACCCAGAAAAAAACTAAAAGACTAAGATAATATGATATTTTTTTTTTAAAACTCTAAATTAGAGAAAATAAAAATTAATATGAAAGATTCAATTCTTATCTTGAACAAATTCTGAGACTCTCGAAAGTAGAATGATTTTTCTTAAATTTGAGACTAGAAAGTAATAATTATATATCAAAACTATAATAGTAATATTCATAAAAAATGAAGTAAAGTAACCTGAAACAGTATGAATTAGACCCCGAATATCATTTGTACTAATCGAGGTATGAACATACCGAATTTTGCTCTATGAGGGTTATTTGCCGGACAGATTATATCCCCTCATGCCACACTAAAGGATATCAAGGTGTTCCGGCAATATTGCCTTAAGAGGAAAAAACTTTACACCACTTCTGATATGCAAGGGGTCACAACATAATAATCACCTCTTTATACAATGAAGTGATGATCATACCCATGATAGTACCATGTTGCCGGGAGACAGGGCTCGGCGGATCGGCCCACAGAATAGTGTTGCGCCACTTCCACCTCTTGGTATAAATATTTCTCCAGCTACCGGCAGAAAGTTAACATTATTAAGTCTCCTTGGCGTATGCTATAGTTGGCATGTCTTATCTTGTGCCATTGTGTTACCATCGAGCATATAAGGCGGGTCAGATATCTGTTCTATAACCCCATTACCCGGTCACAAAGGTGTTTCAAATCTTTGTGATTCCTATTCGGGACTTTCTTAAGACCTTTTTATATTAGCACACTATCATTTAAACAAAAATGGCTCTCAAGCAGATCTTTTACATCTCTTCTATCGTGGCTCTTCTTGCTGCAGTATTTTCGGCTGTTTCACCATCTATAACGGTACCTGGCTTCTTGGCCGGAAACTCCTGTTCGCAACCACAGTATATAGTCCGCACTTTGTCGTATGATCCACTTATCCAACACATCGAGAACTTTATCACTCCTCGAGAGGCTTATCACCTGGTCCAAATCGCGTAAGTCATGGTTTCGATAGCAAATCCGGGTAACAATGCTAATGAGGAGTGCAGACAGTCTAAGTTCCGCCCCTCTCGTGCCATCGAATCTGATGGGCGGTTAGTAGCCACACATGAGCGAACCAGTTCTACTGCATATCTGCCTTCGGATGATCCTGTCGTCCAATGCATTATGTCCAGAGCTTCGGAGTATCAGGGTTACGTTGACCTTGAGATGATGGAGAGCCTGCAGGTAACACGATATCTAGAGGGTCAACAGTATACGAACCACTACGACTGGGCAATCAACCCTGCCGCAAGGAATCAAACAACGAACAGGGAGACCACTTTTTTCGCCGTGCTTGATGTGGAGTGCTCCAACTGCGGGACTCGATTTCCTAAGATCTCAGTAGACTGGAGCGTGGAGGATCAGAGGTGGTGCAATTTTGTTGATTGCAAGGCTACCAACGAGTTAACAGTACGTGGGGTTGCCGGCAGTGCTGTATTTTGGAGGAATCTCCATTCTAATGGAACTGGGGATACGCGCACGCTACATGCTGGGCTCCCCGCTCTGGGCGGTAAAAAGGTGGGGTTAAATATCTGGACACGTCGAGAGGTTTAATCCTGCCACTTGAATCCACAAAGAAGGCCGTTGTCTCATCCTCAAGTTCTTTACTTCGTATGTACGCTTCGCTTGTTCGGACTTTTCGGATTCACCGACCTTTTCCCTTCGTATAGGGCGTAAACGAAGGCCTATGATTAGTAATGAATACGTTCGTACGCAAATGAATTAACAAAAACTCAAATCAAAGTACTCGGTGAGGGAAGGTATGGGCCAATGATTATGCTTGCTTCAGTAGATTAACAAAGTATGTTGAAATACGGAATGATCCGAGTACAAAGCATGCCATCCCTGTCATTGAATCGACGCCCCACTTTTGCATGCTTGGGAACACATAAAAATAAACCTTTTTTTATGGGGAGGAATAGTATAAACTACAATAGTATGCTGGCCCTCTACACAGCAAGCTTTGTTGACTCGCCAAGTTCCGTACAAATGAACCTCGTTGTAACTTCCCCCAAGTAAGTTAAGCGTCTCAGAGTTATCAATCCGAAAGAGAGTTGTTTTCATGTGGATAAGGCTAGCAGCCATCAAGTCGGATATCAATATTAGAAAGATAAGGAATGGTGTGCTCTATTCCCGGTCATTGGTAGAATAGCTTTCTCGGCTTGCTAAGAAAGCTTATGCGGGCAGAAAATGATAGACTCCCTGATTGCTGCCAGTTTCTTGGTTCTGTGTGAAAACAAGAGAGTCTGTACTACCTATTAACGCTCTCAAGAGACCTCCGCACCATGCCATTTACTTCTCTTCTCTTCTCTTCTGCCTTCAATATTTGCCAAAAGCACCTTTAGTACCGCTCCGTTTACTCCAATGGAAGAAAACAAGCTACTTGGACGCACTTCGTCGTCGGACGATGATGCAGAAGACACAACATTCGCTAGCAGAATGAAACGCATTTCTAGTCGTGAAACTTTCTTCTCCCGCATACAGATTTTTCGTTTTTGTCTTGAAGTTATTCTCATTGTCTGCCTTCTTGGCACGACTGGTCTTATTTTGAAGAATGACATCGGCAAAGCTGGTACCTGTGATAATCAGGTTTGGCCGGCAGGAAGTGATTACAATCATTTCGTACCTCATGGTAAGTCTCTCTTGCCTTATGAACTCTCCTGATCCTTCGAATGTCACTGACCTCAAGAACAGATGTCAGCTCAAGAGGTGTACCCAAACCCTCTGGCCCAGATCAATACCAGATAGCTGCTGATGCATTCCGTGACCGGGGTCTGTTTAATCAAACTCTAAGCTCATGGCAAGGTCTTTCTCATGGTAAAAACCCTCCATGTAAATTGTTCATCGTGTGGCACATGTCTGATTCAGAAATTCTTAGCGTTTGTGCGAGCCACACCGTATGATGGTAGCGGACCCCAAAAGCTGTTTGCAGGAGATCTGTTCGAGATTGCCGCATTTCATCAAATGCATTGTCTAGTAGGCCATTTCCCCGTTCCTGAGACTTCAATTCAGGCCTCTAACCTCTGTTGATAGACATCTATACTTGAGGACTTTGGTCTTCTGGCTGCCGGAATCCCCAAAGAAGAACTGCCGGGTTACCACAGTGGTGTAACGTTGACATGGGAAGAGCACAAGGCGCATTGTTTCAACTACGTCCGGCAGGCTTTGATGTGCTTCGCTGATTCTACCGCTGAAGGACACATTGACGGCGACCCTCATCGTGTAGCTGATCATGGGGTAATTCACGTTTGTAACGATTTTGATGCCTTGCTAGCGTGGTCCAAGGAGCCAGAGAGAATTTTGCCTAAAAGTTGGAAGGTGACCGATTGAGAAGAAGAATTGCTTGTAGTTATATTTGACGAAATGGAAGTTGAAATTTTCAATTAAGTAAACAATCTGCTAGTTCTTGACCCAAACACGGAGTGTACATGGGAAGATTTTCCCTAGAAAATGAAATATTGTAGACAGAGCAATAATAGACAGTTGGACGAAAAGAACATAGTATAACAGCGAAAATGAATTCAATAGATTCTTGGTAGAGCATAGCTATTTGCAATTTTCCATGCTTCATAATAAATATCTACATCATCTATCTTCCTCTCCTAGAAAAGATTGCACAACGAAGGTCTAAATCTGTAGCAAAGAGCAGTCTAAAAATGATTTACAACGTGCTGACAGCAAGGGCTTTTTAACAACTACATTTATAGGTATCCCATGAAGCTATCTAATATGATCACGGAGCACTATTCCATGTTTGCGTGTCCATGATGGTGGTTATGCACACCGTCCTTCGCTTTCCCTGGAAAGTCCTTTGAAAAGTGACCGCAATCTGGATATTGAATCTTTGCCCTAACCTCAATATCATCCGGGTCATTGATTCTCGTCAAGACCTGCGAACAGTGTTCCGTGTGGGTCAAGACATCTTCTTTGTGAACCATTCGACCTTCGGTGAGTGCTTTGTGGAATCTGAGAATGTTGTAGGCACAATGAGTCTTGTGCAGTTTATTGGTGAGGTAAACGGGTTGCTTGTCGGAGCCGAATTGTTCTTCAGTGACTGATGCAGTTTTATTCTGATCGGTGTAAAATATCCACGGCCCAGCTTTGCGGAACTTTTCTGTCAGGTCTCGATCAAAGCACTCATCCGGGACCCAGCAGAACGAAAGAACGTCAAAATGACATCCTCGTGCAATCGCCTCACTGGATGAGTTTCCGCAGGGACTTTTGAGAATTGGTTGAGCGTTGGTATGGGTAGGCAGGACGATAGACTGGAAAGCCCAAATAACTGAGAGTGCTAGTAGAATGCTCGATATGAGGCCGACGAGGAGCATAGGACAGGTCCTATGACGGCTTTGCGGTGGCGGTGAAGTAGCAAAAGAAATCGGATTTTCGTCTTCCTCTTCGTTGAGCATGGGAAGTTTACTTTCATCTGTATCCTGAAAAGCCATGTTGTTGAGGGGCTCGATGGAAGTTTTGGTAAGCTTGTGATACTCCTAGGTGAGAGATTTTTGGTTTTCTGGGCGGTAGATATGAATGCAAAAGTAGCGATTAGAAATCATCCACTGCGATAAAACAGAAAGCCAGGTTTCAGATATGAGTTTGAGGACGCTTCTGACCAAACCATCCTGTTATGACTCGAGACACTTCTTTGTCCACTTGCCAAAAAGTCCGCAAGATGAATCACTTAGCGAACTAACCATGCCATGAAGGAACTGGGGAAACTCGATCACTCCGTACTCGCGCTGCCAGAAAGTGTGCAACTCCGACACTAGATGCACATACCACAAGATGGTAAACTACAAGAGGACTAACCTGGTTTGCATAGCGCCGGAGTTGCATACTTTCTGGCCGCACGAGTACCTTGACGACTCCTGAGCCCCTGAGCCCCTGATCACTCGGTATCAGGCCTGATAAAGGTTAAATCTCTATTTTGAGGGATGCGTTGGTTTACGACATGCTAGCTACAAGATATCGTGATATGATAGATGTGAAATTTAGCGATGACTAAATTTGAAAAGCTTATTCTTGAATTCAGCACATGTACGGCCTCGTGTTTATCAGATTGTGATGTACTCAAGGGATCAGATGATGTGATTTTAAGGTTAAATGCCCTTGTTTACACTTCATATCGATAGTAGAACACATCAAATAACCTTTGTTCTTTAGGATATCCGAAATACTCACGAACCTTACTGCACAATGATATCATGATAAATCAAACCCATGTGGTTTTAAGGTTGAAGACCCTTGTTTACACGCTCTTTAAATTGACAGCGGGACTCGTCAAATAACCTTTTATCTTTCGGATAACCGAACTATTACCGAGGCCGATAATACGCATTTGACACACAACCCAAAAATAGATCTCTGCTTAAGCTAAAATCTAATTTAGAATTTAGTAGTATATATTTAAAAATGAGAATTCTTTAATCTAATATACTACCTTAAAGAAATTAATAAAATAACAAGAAAAGAGATATATTTATTAATTAGAATTCAAGGAATAGATTGATATAATTACTTTTTAGTTATCTCAAGAATTGAAACTTATATTTAATTTAATATTATTTCAAAAATAAGGATTTAAATGTTGAAATTAAATCTCTTTTTAGATCTATTAGGATATTTTTATATTGAATATAAATTTCAAATTTTAAGATAAATTAAAAGTAATTATATAAATCAATTTCTTGAATTCTAATTAATAAGTATATCTTTTTTATTATTTTTAATTCCTATAAGATTGTATATTGAACTAAAGAATTTTTCTAATATTAATAATATTATTTAAAATTTGATAACCGAGCTTTTTCTCGGCCCTTCGTGGCTAAAAATAACAACGGCCTCGCTAGCGCTCTCCGTAGTTATTTTTAACGCCACTCAAGACCTACGCCTACGCTCGTGCTGCGCAGCTTTTAGAATCCTAAGAATAAATAAGATTTATATTCCTATATTCCATCAAAATGTGAATTTTGAAACTTTTGAAGCTATTCAGAGATTATAGGCTTTTTGAAGTGGTGGTCTGTGCATAGGCTTAAGCGAGGTGGGGTATATCTAATCCTAAACTTTGAATAATAATAATAATAATAATAATAATAATAATAATAATAATAATAATAATAATAATAATAATAATAATAATAATAATAATAATAATAATAATAATAATAATAATAATAATAATAATAATAATAATAATAATAATAATAATAATAATAATAATAATAATAATAATAATAATAATAATAATAATAATAATAATAAATAGATTTCGCTAGCCTCTCGCTTCTAGCTCGCATAAGGGCGCCGAAGGCGTCTTTAAGCCTAAATCTAATAAATCTAATAAATCTAATCCCCTCCCCCTCCTCTTTCTAATCCCCTCTTTCTAATTCCTTATCTCTCTTATCGCAAATCCCGAACCTCCGATATTCGCGCACGGGGCATCCGTACTTTTTCTCGACCAATCAGCTTCCAGTTATTAATCGTGTTTTAAATCCTATATGTTAGGGACTATATGTTAGGGAAGGGATTCTAATGGTTTAATTAGCTACCGTATTCTTTTGAGAAATAGGCCATGCGCTAGCAAGGATTAATTGTTTAAGTTTTTCGTGAGTTAGGGTTGCGATAACCATCGGAGTTGTTTGATTTGTCTCTTTGATGGATTATTTATCAAATGCCTAGTATTTCGATTGAAAACTTTTATTTTGAGATGTTTGATTTTACTTAAAAGGGAGCCAATTGGCTTCAAAATAACCTTAAAGTAATGAACCTTGCTAGCGCATGGCCTATTTCTCAAAAGAATACGGTATTTCAACCCATGTATAATCCACTCAAAAAGTGCGATAGCATAGGATTATATTATCGTCCTTCAAAATATATATTTTGCTCAACCATAGCTATAGTACAGCGGTAATGTTTTCAAGCAGCGTTTAACAAGAGCAATACCCTGGCACTGTCCACTCAGTTCAATCAGATAGTCAATCAAGAAAGTTAATGTACTCGTACACTCGTATACTCCTCACAACTCCCAGCTCAGTGAAGTTAAGTTCGCAGTCCTAGGATGTTACCCCGCTAGGCTGGTCAGATACTTAAGCGCTACGCCCCCCGCAGTGGAGAACATAGAACAGGTATCATGAAGATCGAAATCGAAGTCGTTTCACCGTCCCCAAATTCATTAATCTCTTTTGCTTATCAGATCTGACCTCGTATTTTGACTTTCCATGAAGAAAGATACAACGGAGCTCCATAAGTTGTTCTCGGAGTCCAGTGAGATTATGTGGGAAACGCGGTTCCCAGAATCCCTCTCGAGATAATCATTGATCTAGTTGAGATTTCAGACATTGCACCATCATGGCATTTCCTTGCGAAGATTCTCTAGTTTACACCGAGGAACCTTGTATCCCCAACATCAAAATCTACCGCCCATACACCAGCTATTCATCAGCGAACTTCTGTTCAAATCTTCTGTTGCAAAGATGTCATTCATAAAACTCTTTTGGGCCGACAATACAACAAAGTATGTCTCTGTTGAAGATGGCTCCGATACCGAAGATCGAGCTACAGTGACAACCAGCCATTCTTCAAAAGTGTCGATTTCTAGATCGTTCTACTTCGCTTCCTTGTTCTTATTTGCCGTCTTTCCAGTCCTTATTATCGCCTTATTTGTGCTACATAGTCGTCTCGCAGACGCCCAAATCAACAATGGGTTTCTCAAAGGCTTCACTACCGAGTTGGGTATTATTTTCATTCAATGAAGTCCAGACCACTGGCTAATCATATGAAATCCCAAAGATCCAATCAAAAGTGTAATTTCTGAACAAACTGTTCGTTTCACTGGCGGTCTTCACTTCCGCAAGAATGGGACACTATACCGAGAGACAATCGAAGGGGAGCCTCAGTATGTTGGAAACCCCTCACCAGAGATAGATGCAGCATGGAGTCAACTACTCAAAGGTGAGTAAGTAGATACAATGATTGCCACACGCAACTGACTAATTTTAGGTCAATATATGAACCTTGTTGGAGACGAAGCCGAGAGTATGACCGACCGGACGTGGAAAGATGATCATGGCAACTACGAAGTTGCGTAAGTTCAGTATTCTCCTGTACTTCATGTCTAATGGAAGCTGATGATATAAAAAGTCTAGATGTGATGCATACCCTTCACTGTGTGGTGAGTTAACATGAATGACTTGAAGTGCCTTGAGCCTGCCTAGCAAGACAGTTAACAAAGATCTAGAATAAAGTGAGGATGGCTCTAGATCCGGATTATTATCCCCAGAAGGAAAGCCATAGAATCCACAGGATGCACGTCGGTGAGTAGTATAACATACCCATACCTCGTACAGAATAGCATCGCTGATGGCGATTATAGATCACTGCATCGACTATCTCAGGCAGACTGTGCAGTGCCATGGGGACCTCACCCCCATGGTCTTCAGTTGGTCAGATGACGCCGGTAGAGTGGTGGCTGATTGGAGAGAGCCTCATACTTGTCGGAACTTTCATCAAATCCGCAGTTGGGCTGAAGATCATTTCCGTCCGTGAATTCCACCTATTGTACCATAGATTATTTGCCACCGATTCTAGGTAGATTGCGTAAACTAAATCGCAACGGGAAAATCCTCTCTTTACTCCCAATTATAGGACAATTATAATTTTACATGATTCCAATTCCTTCAGTTCCTCCGTGGTCTTCTGATTACCCCCAAGTTCGTTTTGAACGATTTTTGTTCTCATTCACGCCTTCACATCTACAGTTCGACGTGGTCTCGTGGCTTTGTTAGTAGCAAGTGTACTTGGGAAAGTCCTCTAAGTGTTCAACGTCCTATCCTCAGCGGCTGAAGCAAGACCTAGCCATGCGCTTTTCCCGATGTTCAAATGTGACATATCGGTAAGTGATTGCAGCCTCTGCTTATAGGACCTGTGAGGATTTAGGTTCAATATGTAAATCAATTCTACCTACAAACCGTAATACAAAGAATCAAAAAGAGGATCAGTAATTCCTCATGTTCTTAAAATAATTGAAACCAGATGTGTGATATTAAAAGTATAGTTCTGTGGCAGATAGGTACTTCGTAGTGGTGCCCTTGATTATAGCTATCCCGTTTAGCAAGTACCTAGCAGCCATTTACTTTTCAATTCCCACTTACACTTAAAGCAAAAAACACGAATCAAATTTTTGGAAAGTACATCTCATAACACCTCAAAAATCCCTCAGAAAATTTGAGCTGGCCTCTAGAGGACTGATTCATTCACGGTGCAGCGATAGTGAAGCGACATTCCGAGCAGTTATGCGAATTTAAATTGCCAGGAATACCTCATATAGTTGAATATTTCCTTGCAAGTTATTATTGCGAATGGCGGAGATATCTTCGGAAAAATAAAAGGCAGCAGAAAGAACAAGTCAGCAATCAAAGTGAAATGAGCCAACCCGCCGTACTGGAACTTTCAAGTAGTGTTTCTGCTTCCAATCAACATTTCGTCACAAAAATGAACAATTTCTCATTGATTCGAGGCAAAGTAGAGAATATTGTTGTTTGTAGCTATCATAATAAAGTCAAACTACGCATTTTGAATACGTTCGAAGATCATGTCCCTAGTGTTTATCGATTTGGCCTCGGATATTTCCCGAAAAATATCTTACCCATTCAAATTTCATTCCACCCAGCTCAAATATCATCATCATCTGGCAATTGAAATATCTCGCCCAACCTGGCTTTCATCTCATCAACCGGAGCAAAACTACCCCTCGCGCCCAACTGATCAGTTGTGAACTTGAAAACTTTGTGATCGTCCTCATCTTCGTCTTCATCTTGGTTATCATCGTTCCCTTCCTCATCATTATCGTGGATGTTAAGGAGTTGGCGGTTATGTTCTTTGTACATTGCCATTGGGATAGGACACTGCGGAGGCTTCATACCTAGTACGATTTCAGAAGCCGGTGTATTTATCATCTGCAGGTTAAAGATCAAAGTATTGTCCGTATCCCAGGATTCTGCGTCAAAATCATCGACTTCGATATCTTGCACAATGTTTGTATTGGCATCTGCAATTATTACATCTCTTTTCTCACCGTAACTCTCTTTGATCGCCGCGGGATACTTTAATAGTCGTTTTCCTGCTGTTGTCTGGCACATATGTTTTTGGGCAGCATGAGATCTCGGCCTGCGGCCTACACAAAAGGTCAGGAAAAATCTCTGAGCCCTGTAGATAAAGTCAGACTTAAGCGATTCATTTCAATCTTTTATATCGAAGGCAGATGTAATCATGACGTACCGCCTTAATGCCGTAAAAACTCAGATAACGGTCTTCTGACGAGTCAGCAATTGGTCATACAACGTGCCAAAGTGACTTACGAGGTTCAAGTTGCTGGCCTGCAAAATTGATTCGCTGTTCCTCCCAGGGAATGCTAGTTACTCCTAGAATTTTTTTCATGAGATCGTTCACAAGACATATGTTGGAGACATTTATATGAAAAACTTTGCTAAAGAGCGTGCGCACAGTGATAGGCATGCGTTTTGTCGTGTCCAGCTTTTGTGGTACAATCTCAAATTGTATTCTACGAATACCGTCAGTCAAATTGATTGAGGATTTGGTTGATGGCGCCATAATTTGATTCGGGGCCGCGAAAAACTGCATGATCTTGTCCTCTTTTGTCTTGACGCCGTCCAACCATCTTTGACCAGAATTTCCTGCAACAATGTAATCTTGAATTGATTTTTTTTCGTAAATTAATGCTATACTTCTGAGATCTGCTGATAAGCATCTTTTGTTAGATTCCCCAGAGATGGCATTCACGCCATCGATAATGACGTTCACCGCGAAATATCCAGTTGACTCAAAATGGATCCACATTGCCTCGCGCTCTTTCACTTTCGGTCAGCATTTCTCGACCGGTAACATTGTATTCAGTCAAGTTTATGGAAAGGGAAGCACTTAAGATAGATCGGGATAAAGACTCCATCATTTGTAGATACAGAATGATCAAACTTATCTTTATATTTATCAAAAGGGTAGATAGGAAAAGGTCCAAAGTCTGGAGGTACTTTCAAACGATTGCCACTTTCTGGAACACGAAGAGTGCGTCGAAACGAAATGTTGAGGAAATCTCCTTCCACGTTACTGACATGAATTTGCTTGAAACCTGTTGTGTCTATAAGAGGTTCTCTCAGCTCAACTTTGAAGCGGTTGTCGGCCTCAACTAAGTTATCCATTCTGCGAGCTGTTAGCTGCAGATTTAATTGATTGGATGATGTTGAAACTTACTTGAAGGCAAGATTGATGGCCAATTGTTCTTGGTGAAGTCTGTCTTAGGCAAGACGGATAACTGTAGTTTAGATTCTCGAAGAAGAAAAGAAACCCACGTTCGTTGTAAGAACATAAGAAAACGAAGAACAAAATTGAGAAGAAAAAGGAACACGAAGAAAGAAATTCAATCATGTAGAGCAAACCAAAGACAAGACTAACGAAGAGCGGTATGATACTAAAGTCGCTCCTTCCAAAAACTTATAAAAACTGAATTTAACGATCTCTGGATACCTGTCAGGTACCCACACAAGTGGATGATGAAACCCTTCCTCCCCAAACGCCCAATCAATTATCATTTACAAGAAGGAAATGTCAAGAAGAAAAATGAAACGAAGTGAGAAGCTTCCTCGTAATTAGAAGAGCGTTAAGACATTAGGCGAATTCAATAGTCTCTAGAATTGTAAGTGAACATCGAGTAAATTGAACCACTTAGTTTGTAGTATCTATGATTTTTCACATTCATCCGAAGTCTGGATCAGAAGTGGATGAGCACGCCGATCATAGGGATCTTGTTGTAAGGGGTGTATGATATGAGATGAAGTGAAGTATACGATACTCTTGTGTACGCACGTCTTCCTATCAAACACAACAGACAAGGAACGGAGCGAATATACTAGCGATCTATCAAATCAAGAATCTAACATATCCAAACTAGACCTCATCCACCGCATGCAAAGTTTCATCAATTCTCAGGTTCAAATTCACAATCCAAAATATAAAAGAACGATTTTCGAATATTCATCACTATATATTACGATAGCTAGATCACCCGTTCGTTTGACTTCTACAACTTCCTCAGCACAAATCTCATTCTCACATTCATTTAGTTACACACATCCATTCCCAGTTTCTCGTTCACTACAGAGCCCCTTTTATCCATCTTCCTCAAGTTCCAGCAATCCTGAGGTTTTCACCTCGGATCCATTCCAGTTCCATTTACAAATACCGTGGACGTTTCATTCTCCATCACCCAGCAATCAACGATAATCCGATCAAACCGAACATCTTCACAATCATCTCCAGATGTCTCCTCCCTTTTCATATAATCTAGAAAGACAATAAATACTCTTAACCGAAGAATATTCTCCCCCCCCCTAAAAAATCCCTTGTATATTCTGTAAAAAAGCTTTCTAATAAAGTATAGATTCCTACGTACTTACTAATATTAGCCTTCTTAATAACTTGGTAATAATCACTGTCTCAAAACTACTATATTCATAGGCATCTGAATATTGAAGATTGAACATGAGAGTGTTATCGTTGTTCCAGTATGTAATGATAAACCAACTACTCTCTCCAAAGTCTCATTCTCAAGCATTTGAATCTCGAAAATGGGCATGTTATTTTATTCCATTCTACAATAGGAACATAATCTTTACTAATAATCCATTCAATAAACCCGCCAACAGAGATCGTCTCAGCCACTCTTTTTTCCCTAATCCGAAATCCTTAAGCGAAGTACCCTCCTCATCTCCTCCTTCCCACCCCATAACCCATAACCTCAAAACAAAATTTACCCAACTCCTTTAATTAATTAATCAATTAATCAAAGCATGATATATTTAAATTTCTATCTTTACTTACCTACCTATTCAACATCAATTAACTAAATAATTTAAGTATACAATATCATATAGTTTAATAAGAAGAGCTTATCTCCAAGACCTAATATTCATATTATTCGAATACTATCATCTATTTAATTGAAATTATAATAATCTAATAATCCTCTCAAAATAATCATCCAAATATAACATTATATTCTATAAAAAAAACACTAATCCTATCTATCTAAAAAAGAAAAATCAAAAAAAAAATCAAAAAAAATCCAATCTCATAAACAACTAATCAACCCAGAAAATAAAAGAATTAAAACCCAACTCTTCTTTTATTTCTCTCTTTCTTACTATTAAATACCTATCTATCTATCTATCTAATTTCCAAAAATAATACAATACAAAAGAATTAAAAACAATAAATCATAGAGTAATTAAATTAATCCTTTATATCTTATACCTATTCATTTATACTATAGAAAAATCATAATAGAAATAACCCCTCCCCCCCCCCTCCCCCCAAAAAAGGAATAAAACTAATAAAGTCCAATTAATTAATACTTCACAATATCTACCTATCTACCTACCTACCTACCTATCTACATAAACAAAATTACATTACATTAATAACCAACCTTAAAAGAACCAACCACCTCCTTTCCATACTACCTTAACTACCTACCTACCCATACCAAACCAAACCAAACCAAACCAAACCAAACCAAACCAAACCAAACCAAACCAAACCAAACCAAACCAAATCAAACCAAAAGAACCGACTCCTTTTCCACACTACCTCGACTACCTACCTACCTACCTAGCTACACCAAAAACACCCAACATACCCAACCAACCCGCATATTTTCCATACACACACCGTATCCTCATTCATCCTCAATATCTATCTATCTATCTATTTATCTAATTTCCAAAAAATAATCCAATATTAAAAAAATTGAAAATAATAAAATCACAAGTGAAATAATTAATTATTTATATCTAATATCTAATATCTAATATCTAATATCTAATCATAAAAACCAGGTTTTAAAGGAAGGAAACCTTGGAAACCCCCTCCCCTGTAAGCTATTTATTACCTATGGATACCTAGTTTTATTCATAGGTACCTATCTAGAAATATCATATCATATCCCTCTCCCCCTCCCTCCCCAACCCCCCTCACCTCAAAAGAATCAAAACCCTCAAAAAAAACCAACAAATTAATATTCATACACCTCAATATCCAAATTCAAAAGCCAAATTCAAATTCAATAAAGTAACAACACAAATAAAAAGACAAGCAGCTGTGACAAGATTATAAAAAGACAGATAAAGTAAATATCAAATACCTCATTGTTGAATAACAATCAAATTACAACTTTTGTCCTCAAATACCTACATAACATAATGAATCAATAGGTTCATCATCACAACACCCATTTATATCTATACATTCAAAACACTATTTCAAAATCGACGATAACAATAAATATTTCGCGTGCAATTGTTATTACTTAGCACTATCCTGTGCATCCCTACCACCCAGATCACCTCATCACCTCATCACCCTATCCTCATCCATCCTCATTCCTTATTCTCATAACTAAATAAAATCAATAAATCAAAACTAAATCCAAAAAAAACACACATATAAACAACGCCTAAAAAGAATGGGTAGATGAACAACCCCCCATCAAACCCAAAGATGTCCTAAATCCTACACCCATCCAAACCATCCTATTTTGTCCGATCCTAAAATTCCACGCCCTCTAGTGTACAGTTTCAATCCAAAGAAGTTGGAAGAAATATCCCAATATTCTCTCACGGACTGCCAAAGAAGACATCCTCTTCATTCCTGAACATGCCAGCATTATCAGCTGCTACGCCAAACATACTATCGAATTTTCCAATCAAAAGATCTGGATCACGTTCGAGTTGAGTAATGCTGGTACTCCCTGTGACAGCAAAAGCCTCCAAGAACATATCATCTTGCTCTGTAATATTTGGAAGATTACTGAGTTCACCACTATTTGAGACGGCATCTAGGTCATATTGATTGGCGCTAGCCGTGGGTGAAGAAGATGACTGGCACAAAGCAGGTGGTGAATAATTGCTTTGTGCAGATTTGGTGGGTGATCTAGAGTTTGATCGAAGGTGCTCAGGAAAGTTGAGTCGAGTCCGGAATCCATTTGGCGCATGCGTTGATTGTATTGAATTTGGTTCTACGCATTCGGCAATTGATGTCATGGAGGAAATTGAAGATATTGACGCTGCTACCGAAGAGGACCTTTCTCTAGAGAATTGATAGCTGTCGTGTGTGGCGAGAGAGCTTTGAGAGAAGCCATAGTCTCCAAACGGTCTATCATCAAGGATATCTAGATCGCTACGAGGTGATTGGGCGCATGCACTTTCCGAGTATTCTGATGATGATGTTTCTGAAGGACTCGTCTTGTTTTTGCTTCGAGTGCGCGATGCCTTTTCAACACGTTCTTCATCATCAGGTCGATTCTTCCTCGGTCTACCTCTCTTTACTGTCTTCTTTACCACACCTTCGAAAGCACCAATACACATCCCACGTTGTCTGTGGCGAGTCAAAGCATCATGTCTAGCAAAACTATTTCCACATTGACACGGATAAGGTTTTACACCAGTGTGAATCTTTGCGTGTCGTTTGAGATCATGTTGGCGTACAAAGCATTTGTGGCAGTGTGGACATTGAAATTGTCTATCCCCAAGATGGGTCTGAACATGTGACTTGATATTTTCCTTTCGACCAAATCGCTTACCACATTCTGGATACAAGCAAAGCCACTTTGTGTCGCCAGGTTCCGGTGCTTGAATGTAGGTAGCGATATCATCAATGGTGATTCCCGTATCGGTAATTGACTCTTCGAGGTTGATACTCGAGACTGATTCGGATCGTCGATAGGATTGAGCAGGTGAACTACAAGCTGGCTCCGAAGCGGGAAGACCGTGAGAGTAATTAGACATAGGGTAAGGCGATATGTCTGGCGCTTCTAAGATGGGTCTGTTTGTGAAAGGATCTCTAAAAACATTTCTTCGAGATTGTTCTGGAGATGAGGGATATGATAGATCTTGTGAAACATTAGAAGAAGTCGGTGAGTATTGTGCCGCTTGAAATTGTGGATCATTTTTCATAAAATCGAGGTTAATAGTTGACATGTTCATGAAATTCGATGTTGGCATCGGTGCGGAGTCAAATGTGCTGGCAGTGGGTATGGGTCCTGATCCTAGTGGGGCAGGTTCAGCTTTCATCTCAGCTTCTCGTCTCATGTCGTCAAAAACATTCTTGGTTCTCTGATTACTTTTAGGCTTGATCGTTTCCTCCATCGATGTGTCGTAATCATCACGAAATCTTTGTGGGATGTGCTCCAGCTTGATGGTTCGGTCGTATGGACTTTCTAGTGGAGCGGGGGGGAAGTAATCTAGAACAATGAGAAGATATCCGAAAAACCTAGGATGACAACTTACTGGTAGAGTTTGCATCTGGAGGTGT